AACAAATAAAACAAAAACATAAACAAAAGCTAAGGTGCTGATTCTCTACCTCCATTGGAGGTAGGAGTGAAGGATGAAGAAGTTTAAGAAGTCAAAAAGGAGGAAAACGGGTAGAACTGGAGGCTCTCTGAAGGCTGTCCCAGGCAAGCAGCAGCACTACTGCTGACCAAATGCCCGCCACGTGCCAGGCAGCATTCAAGTCCCTTGTCTATGCACTTTCTCAAATTTTATAGGTGGGGACGCTAGGGCTCAGAGAGTTTAAAACTTGCCTGCCCAGGATTGCCTAGCCAGAAATGAAACAGACAGGATTATTGTAGAGAATAATTTGTTCATAACTAGTGAATTGACAGAAACAGTCTAGAAAGGGACCAGCAGTTAGCACAATGGCTATGTCGCTGGACTCCCACGTAGTTGACCGCAGTTTGAGTCCCGGACCCGGTGGCTTAGACTCACACTGGGTGCGTGTGCGTGCATGCCCAAGATCCCAAGAGGAGAATGGAGAAGGGATTGTGGCGTGGCCATCCCCCCTGGGGGGTGATTTCTCGTTTTCTGTCTCTCTGTCTCTGTCTGTCTGGCGAGCGCACGTGCCCTATAGCAAAAACCTCTCCAAAAAGAAAAAAAAAGAAACAGTCTAGAAATTCTTTAATTAATTAATTAATTTATTCATTCATTCCTTCATTGTAATTTGACCAGAGAGAGGAAGGAAAGTGAGAAAGCAAGCCACCAGGTCCAGGACTCGAACTGTGGTCAGCCATGTGGGAGTGTCCAGCACCTTAACCATCACACCACCTGCTAGTCCCTCAGTCTAGAAATTCTCAAGTACACAAGGATAGGGTACCCGAATGCTTAAGTAACATTGCTCGTGATAGCAAGCAACTGAAAATATATGTCCATCCATACTAGAATGGATAAATAAGGACCACCAGGTGGTATAGTGGTTAAGGAGGCAGGATTCTCACATGGCTGACCACGGTTTGAGTCTCAGAGCCAGTGGCTTGAAAATGATATCCAACGCGTGCACGTGTGTACCCAAAATCCTGAGAGGAGAATGCAGAAGAGGTGTGGTGTGGCTACTCACCCTGAGGACTCACCCTGAGGACTGACTTCTCACTTTACCTCTCTCTGTCTCTGTCTATCTCCAGTGAGCATATATGCCCTATAGCAAAAACCTAAAATATATTTTTTTTAATTTAAAAAAAGAATGGATAGTGATGTAGTTGTAAAATGGAATACATCATCTAGGGCCTTAAGGATAAAAATGATATTGTTGCGGGAATAAAGAAAACTCAAGGGACCAGCAGATGGCATCATGGCTACATTGCTGGACTCCCACATGATGGCTGACTGTTGTTTGAGTCCCGGACCCAGAGGCTTGAAACTCACATCAGGCACGTGTGTGTGCATGCCTAAAATCCTGAGAGGAGAATGGAAGAAAAGGGACTGCAGCATGGCCATCCCCTCTGGGGAGGGTGATTTCTCACTTTCTATCTCTCTATCTCTCTCTGTCTCTCCAATATCACTTATGCAGTTTTAAGTCATGCCCAACAGTGCTGTATGTTGCACAGGGATGTATTTGTAAGTGATTAAAAACTATCAACTTTGGGGGAACCAGCAGTTAGCGTAATTGCTATGTCGCTGGATTCCCATGTAGTCAACCACGGTTCGAGTCCCGGACCCGGGGGCTTAGAGCTCACGCTGGGTGCGTGTGCGTGCATGCCCAAGATCCTGAGAGAAGAATGGAGGAGAAGGGATTGTGACGTGACCATCCCTCCTGGGGGATGATTTCTTGCCTTCTGTCTCTATGTCTCTCTCTGTCTGTCTGGCAAGCGCATGTGCCCTATAGCGAAAACCTCTCAAAACAAACAAACAAACAAACAAAAAACTATCAACTTAGGGACCAGCAGATCGTGTAATGGTTACGTCACTGGACTACCACATAGTCAGCTGCAGTTCAAGTCCCATACCCAGCAATTTAAAATTCATGCTGGGTGTGTGTATGTGCATGCCCAAAACCATGAGAGGAGAGTGGAAGAGAAGGAATCGCAGCATGGCCATCCCCCCACCCAGGGGGTGATTTCTCACTTTGTTTCTGACAAGCACATGTACCCTATAGCAAAAATCTCTCCCTCAAAAAAAAAAAAAAAATTATGTCTATTTAATTTTTATTTATTTATTTTAATTTGACCAGAGAGAGACAGAGTGAGAGAAAGAGAGAAAGCAAAAAGTCACCAGGTCTGAGACTCTAACCACTATCAACCACGTAGGAGTCCAGCATCCTTAACCACCACGCCACCTGCTGGGCCCAAAAAACTATCAACTTCAAGATAAAAGTTCCCACTGAGGGGAGGGAGACCAGGTTATAAAGAAAGCAGACACAAAGGGATTTAACTATGTGAATCATGTTTTATTTTGAAAGCTGGGTGGTGAGTGTACCACTTTATATCACTTTACATATTAATCAGAAAAACAAAAAGGTTGATAGTGTAAAAACAAAGAAAAGATGGTGATTTAAAAAAAAATTAAACTTAGTTTAAAAATGGGGAAAAAAATGTTATCCTGGGGTATCCTATGGCTGGTGGTTGAGGTGGTTGGATCCCGCATGACTGGTCATGCAGTTCAAGTCCTGGACCTGGTAACTTGGGGACGCCAGATAGGTCTGTGTACCCCAAATCCCAAAGGGAGGACAAAATGGAGAAGAAGAGATTGCAGTATGACCATACCCCATGGGGGGGATGCTTTCTCTCCCTCTTTCTGTCTCTCTCTAGCAAGACTGCACACTCTCTGGCAGATTAAAAAAAGAAAAAAAGTCATCATTTCATCAGCACTGGCATCTTGAAGCCATTGGCATCTCCTTGCTTTGAAACAAACAGAATACTGTCAGCCTTTTCAGAAATATTTGCTAACATAGCATTATTCACAATGGCCAAGATAAAGTATCGACTTCGATGTCCATCACCGGACAACTGTATTTAGAAAATGCATCCGCAGTACGTATCCACAACTGAAAAGTATTCAGTCTTCAAAAGTGAAGGAAATCCTGCCACTTGTGACAGTAGGGATGAACCTATAGAATATTACGTTAAATGAAATAAAGCAGATTCAGAAAGATAAATGTCACATGATTTCACATGTAAGATCTAAAAAAGTTGAAATCAGAAGTATAGAATGATGCTTGCTAGGGATTAGAAGGGAAATTGAGGATCCCTTGTTGTGTTCTTTGTTGGTCAAAGGATACACAATTTCAGATAGGAGGGATGAGTTTCAAAGATCTACTGTGAGGCCAGGGGGTGACGTGGTGGTTAAGGTGCTAGACTCCTACATGGCCACCCATGGTTTGAGTCCCGGATCTGGTGGCTTGCTTTCTCACTTTCCCTCGCTCTTTGTCTCTCTCTGGTAAAATTTTTAAAATGGGCTGGCAGGTGGTGTGGTGGTAAGAGGCACTAGATACCCACATGGCCGACTTTGGTTTGAGTCCTAGACCTGGTGGCTTGCTTTCTCCCTCTCTCTCTGTCTTTCTCTGGTCAAATTTAAAAAATAATAACAAGTGGAATTAACTAAATATTTTTAAAATTAAAAACATATACATAATAGTAAGTAAAATTTTAAAAAATAATTCTTGAAGGAAAAAAAAGATCTATTGTACTGGACCAGTCCCACAGGCTAGTTATGAAGAGAGCTAGATCCCACATGACCGACTGCAGTTCAAATCCCAGCCCTAGCGACTGAAACACGTGCCTGGCACATGTACGTGCATGTCCCAAACCCTGACAAGATGGAGAGATTGAGGAGATTATAGTGTGACCACACCCCATTGAGGGGTACTTTCTCCCTGTCCCTTTCTCTGTCTCTTTCTAAGGAATGCATATGGCCTCTGGCTAATTAAGTAAAAAAATAAAATAAAGAAATATTTGCTCACATAATATGTTTCAGAGTGGGCCAGCCCATGCCATGGTGATTAAGGTGACTGGGTCCCACATGGCCAACTGTGTGGTCTGAGTTTCGAACCCAGCATCTTGAGAAACACACCAGGCACCTGTGCATGTATGTCCAAAATCCCAAAAGGAGGGAGAGATGGAGGAAAAGAAATTGTGGCATGACCATTCCCCATGGAGGTGCTTTTTCCCTGTCTGACAAGTGCATACAGGTAAACATTTTTTAAAGTTTCAGAGAACGTCTTCATTTTTTTAGAGAGGTTTTTGCTATAGGGTGCATGTGCTTGCAGGAGACACAGAGAAAGACAGAGAGAAAGTGAGAAATCATCCTCTGAGGGGATGGCCAGACTGCAATCCCCTTTCCTCTATTCTCCTCTCAGGATTTTGGGCAAACATGCACACACGCCTGGCATGTTTCAAGCCACCAGGTCCAGGACTCAAACCATAGTCAGCCATGTGGGAGTCTAGTGCCTCGACCACTACGCCACCTGCTGGCTCTTCAGAGAAGATCTTTTAAGAAAACTAAGTGTTGGGGCTGGCAGATGGTGTAGTGGTTAAGGGCGCTGGATTCCCACATGGCTGACAGTTGTTTGAGTCCCGGACCTGGCGGTTTGGATTCTCACTTTCCCTCTCTCGCTCTGTCCCTCTCTGGTCAAATTTAAATAAATAAAAATGTCTTTAAAAAAAAGAAAAGAAAAGAAAACTAAGTGCTACCACACAATCTATGCCCACCAGGCATTAATCACTCTTCTACCTAACAAAAACCTCAGGTCTGATTCTCTCCCCTCTCTGCCTACAAGCCCTGGCATGGCTTGACCCCTCCTGGCTCCCCACCACATTTCCAAGGTTCTTCAGGTGCTGCCTAGTCCAGCTTCAACAGCAGCCAAACGGCACTGCATACCACGCACTTCAGGCGCTCATTTGGTGAAGTGTCTCTGTGGTCCCTTCAGGTCAGGCACAAATAGGATTTTCTTTTTAGGGATGAGGAGACTGAGGCTCAGAGAGGCCAGGTATGCAGGGCCAACCCCAAGTGCTTATGGAGGGTGGGTGGGGTGGGCAGGAGCTCACCTCTTTGCAGTGCTGTTCCCTCAGCAGGTCTCGGAGGGTGCGGTTGGTTTCTTCGAATGTGCTCAGCTTCTGCAGGAGAAGTTCCTTTTGCCTCGTCAGGGTGTTAATGTCCGTGCAGGTCATTTGTTTCTCCTGGAAGACAGGCAGGCAGTCTTACCAGGTGCAGGGGGAGAGGGAGAGGCAGGCCCCAGGACAGACTCAACAGGTGTTGGTGCCAGGCCAGATGAGCTGGGCTATGTACAGGGCCCAGGTGGTCCAGAGCAGGCTTCCCGGAGGAGGCAGACCTGGAAAGATGGGCAGGAGCTGAGCCCACTGAGAGCAAGAGGTAGAGAAAGAGGCGAGACAGCTCAGTGTAGGCGCATGCAGTTCGGACAGGCCTTCTGGAGGTGGCAAGGGAGGATGACGACACCTGGTGGCTGACACTTGCGGAAACCAACCACATGCCTTGACTCACTGTGATCCCAGGCAACCCATGGTGAGGTCTCCTCAGAGGCCCTGGCCACCAGAGGTCATCTTCGAGGGTCTAGGCCCAAGAAGTAAGAATGGGGGGTGGGGGCAGAGGAGTTAAGCATGCCCTCCCCCCACCTGGAGATGTCATAAAGTCAGCCTGATGACTACGCAGGAGACCCCGCCCTGGCCTGCGACCGCCCCTCTGAACTCAGCCCCGGCCCAGTCCAGGCCCAGGCCCAGGCAGGGTCCTCTGCCGCCACCTACTGTTTTCAGCTTCCCGATGGTATCCTTCAAGGCCATGACTTGCTTGGCAGCAGCTGCTCCATCCATTTCCGCCTCAACCAGCTTGGACATAAGGCACTCCTTCTCCTGCTGGAGGTGTTTCTTCTGAAGCCTGGGGCCAGAGAGAGAGGGCTCTGAGAGCCCGGCCAGGCCCAGGCTGCCCAGGGCTCCGAGGCTCGCCTCACAATGCCCCACAGGCCACCTCCTGGCAGGGAACAGTGGGAGTGGGGGAGGGGGAGAGGCAGGGGCAGGCCTTCCAGAAGGACGGGGCCCAGAAGTCACATCTGCCTGGGCAGCAGCCAGGGCCTTTGCCCCAGGTGACATGCTACCACCATGTGGTCTGCTTGTCTCAAACAGCCACTGCTGTCAACTCTGCCCCATCATCTTCAGATCCACTTTTGAGCCATCCCAGCTGCTGTCCACACTGGAGTCAAGTCTGGTCACATCAGTCCCCTGCTTTTCAAACCTTTCCATGGTTCCCAACCACCCTCAGCGCAAATGGCCCTAGTGGCTGAGAGCCAGCCTTTGCTAACCCTTATGCTATCACTTGCCGTCTGTCCACCTGCTCTGGCCCACTTTCCATTTCTCAGCTGCAAATGTATTCCCAACTGGGGCCTTGCCACAAGATGTTCCCACTGACAACGTGCCCCTGTAGGGCACCCCTTAAATGTCACTTTCTCCAGAGATCCCCGACTCCCGGCCCCTGTGGGGTACTCCATCTATTTATCATGTGCGCCATTGGGTAATTAACCATGTGACTGTGTTGGACTGCTTTGGCACATGGGTCAGGGACGGCGCCTGGGTCTGCTGCTGCACTGCTTTTCACTCCATCCTGGGGCTTTGGGGTAGCCTGACATGACAGCAGGAAGGAAAGCCACAGGCCGGCGGGTGCCTCACATGGTGAAGTCCTTCTCCTCCTTGATGCGCTCGATGTTGTGCCTCAGCACGGTGTTCTCGTGCTCTGTCTCAGCCAGTTCGTGTGCCACCTCCTCCAACTCCTCCTTCCGCTCCTCCAGGAACCTTTTGGCCATTTGGCGCTCCCCCTTCTGCATCTTGACCTGCACAAGGGCACACAGGCAGGGCCACTGAGGGATGGCTTTTCTTCTATGCTACATGGCTGGGCCCAGGGCTTCAGACCCTCCGTTGCAAGCCAGCCAAGCCCTGTGCAGTTGCAGTCCTCATTAGCAGTCTCAGAAAATCTCACAAAGACTGGCCCCTCGGGACCAGCAGTTGGTGTAATAGCTATGTTGCTGGGCTCTCATGTAGTTGACTGTGGTACGAGTCCCAGACCCAGTGGCTTAAACTCACACCAGGTGCATGTGCATGTGTGCCCAAGATCCCGAGAGGAGAATGGAGGAGAGGGGGTTGCGGCATGGCCACCCCCCTGGGGGTTGATTTTTCACTTTCTGTTTCTGTCTTTTTGGTGAGTGCACGCACCTATAGCAAAAACTTATTTAAAAAAAAAAAAAAAGACTGACCCCTCTGAGACACGATTCCTTCCTCATTTGGCAGATAAGAAAACTGAGTGACGAGAGCCTGAGTTGGACCGGCAGGTAGCATGGAGGTTAAGGTAGTGGATCCCACATAGCTGGCTCCACAGTCTAAGTCCTAGACCCGATGGCTGGATAAACACTCTAGGCGTGTGTGCATCCAAGTCCAAAATGCTAACAGAAGACTGGAGAAGAGACTGGCATGGCCACCCTCCACCCAGGGGGTGATTTCTCACTTTCCCTCTCTCTCTCAAGCGAGCACATTTACTCTATAGCAAAAACTAAAAAAGAGAGAGAGCTTAAGTGACCTGCTGGGGATGGCGTTAGGTGGTAAACGTGGTTTGGCTGGCACATCATAGGAGAGCGGTCACAGAAAGGCCGTGCACTACAGACTACAGAGGAGGGCCTGTTGCCAGGCAGCCCTGGGTTTCCCAGGAAGGTCCCTGGACACCAAGTACAGGGAGCAGGACTAAAGACACAGGTCATATTAGCAGTCAAGATCTAGACTATAGGGGCCAGCAGATGGCACTGGTTAAGGCACTGGTCTCCCACATGGCCGGCTGACCTTACTTCAAGTCCCACACCCGACAGCTTGCTTTCTCACACTCCTCTCTCTCTCTTCCTATCTCCCTCTGGTCAAATTGAATAATTATAATAAATGAAATAATTGTTAAAAAAAAAAAAGTCTGGACTGTAATGCCAGCTCCACACCTCCCAGCCGGGGACCTTGGACTTCACAGTTCTGCTTCCAATGCCATTGCCATATTGCGCCCAAAGAGACAGCTCAGCGCCCGGTGACAAACTTCCTTTTCCTCCTTGGGGTTGTGTCTTTAATGTTAGATGTTAGCACAAGCCGTTTCCAAGTCACTTCCCTCCACAGCAGGAACTATAACCCCACCAGCTGCCTTTGCCGTGGTCATTGTCAATTCAGGTCATCCATGCACAGCACCAGGCCAGCTCAGTGCTTGACGGGTGGGGCCGTGGGTGTGACGGTGCCCCAGCTACCTCCCAGGGGGGAATCCAAACTCCTGGGCAACTTTGCCAAGGGGCCAGGAGGCTGGCAGAGAGGCGACTGGAGAGAAGTGTTCACCAGAAGCCCATCTGGCAGTCCTCAAGGCACGAGCTGTCCCAGTCCCCTACCTCCCTCACCTCAGACTTGAGACAACCAACCGCATTCATTAGACTGTCAATCTTCTTATCGTAACGGTTCATTTTACAGTGACCCGAGTCGTCATCTTCTGTAGAGAGGTCACTTAACCGCATCACCGAAACCAGCTTTTCTGAAGATGGTGGTGTGATCTCCAGGCAATGAGGTGGATTCTGACGTAGAGGAGGGAGAAACACATGAACTTGGAAGCAAGGCCTCCACCTGGATTCTACCGAGGCTGGATGTCTACTGGAGGCTGACTTACTGATTAGGCTGGAAAAGCTACAACAGCTACCGGTCAACCACAGGGACCCTGGGAACACTCCAAACCCTCTCAAATGAACATTATCTACCCATGTTTAAAGGATGTTTTTGAAGAATTTCTTACATTGAAATAAAAAGCTTACATTATGTTTAAGTTTAAAATAAAGAATATAACGAATTGGCAAAAACGGTATACCCAAAGGTGGCAAAATTTTGGGACTATAGATGTTTTCATTTACCTAGGGCAGAAATGAAATATGTCAGACGTCTTTTAAATGAATACAAATGCATGACACTGGGTTAGTTATCACAATAAATTCACTGAGAAAGGCGTTTTGGGAAATGTGGAGAAATTTGAAAATCAACTAGTTACTATGTAATATGAAGAAATGAAGTGCTTACAACTAATCAGTATTTGTTTTGGTTAATATAGAAAAACATAAATACTATTAGAAATACATATGAAATGATGTCTGGAAAACACCTTTTTAAATACAGTATAAAACAAAAAAATTTTTTCTTGACAGATTTTTTGGTATAGAGCACATACACTCTCTGGAGAGACAGGAGACAGAAAGAAAGAAAGCGAGAAATCACCCCCTCAGGGGAAGGCCACGCTGCAATCCCTTCTTCTCCATTCTTGTCTCGGGATTTTGGGCACACACGTTCACGCACCCGGAGTGAGTTTTAGGCCACCGGGTCTGGGACTCGAACTGAGGTTAACTATGTGGGAGCTGATGGCTGTCAGAAAGAAACAAGAAGTGTGCAACAGGATGAAATTGTTGTATCGAACAAGTAGGACTCCCAGGGTATAATTAAGAGAAATCACGCACATAGGGCCAGCAGAGAGCACAGTGGTTAAGGTGCCGGACTCCCACATGGCTGACCGCTGCCCAAGTCCAGAACTCTGTGACTTGAAGCAACACGAAGCACATGTGCATGCTCAAAGTCCTGAGAGGAGAATGGAGAAGGGATTACAGTGTGGCCATTTCCCCTGAGGGGTGATTTCTCACATTCTGTCTTTGTCTCTCCAGCCAGGACACATGCCCTATAGCAAAAAATACACGTAACTCTCCCTAGGAACCAGCAGGTGGCATAATGGTTACATCACTGGACTTCCACGAAGTCGACTGTGATTGGAGTCCCAAACCTGGTAGGTTGCTTTCTCACTTTTTCTCTCTCTCCTCTTTTTCTGTCCCTCTCTGATCAAATTAAAATAAGTAAACAAATAAAATTAAAAAAAAATTTTTTTTTTTTTTTTTTAGAGGTTTTGCTATAGGGCACGTGCGCTCGCCAGACAGAGAGAGACAGAGACAGAAAGTGAGAAATCACCCCCCGAGGGGATGGCCACACCGCAATCCCTTCTCCTCTAGGGATCTTGGGTACTCATGCACACGCACCCTGCGTGAGTTTTAAGCCACTGGGTCCGGGATGCGAACCGCAGTCAACTACATGGGAGTCCAGCGACATAGCCATTATGCTAACTGCTGGTCCCAAATAAAATCATTCTTTAAAAATCAAAAGGAGGAACCTGGAGGGTGATGTGGCAGTTAAGGTGCTGGACTCCCATATGGCCGACAATGGTTCAAGTCTCGAACCAGTCCGAACTCATGACAAATAAATAGGTTTAAAAAAAAATAAGGGGACCAGCAGTTAGCGTAATGGCTATGTCACTGGACTCCCATGTAGCTGACCGTGGTTCAAGTCCTGGACCCGGTGGCTTAAACTCACACCGGGCACGTGTGCGTGTGTGCCCAAGATCCCGAGAGGAGAGTGGGGGAGAAGTGACTGTGGCATGGCCATCCCCCCTGGGGGTCATTTCTCTCTGTCTCTGTCTTTCTGGCAAGTGCACAAGCCCTATAGCAAAAACTTCTAAAAAAAAATTAAGAATCAAAAAAAAAAAAAAAAAGGGTATGTACTCTTTCTTTTTTTAGCCAGTCTGTTCTAGAGATTTATTACATATATCCTGGTTGCCAGCCAGTGGTGTGGTGGTTAGGGTGGCTAGATCCCACAGGGCCAACTGAACAGTTCGAGTCTTGGACCCAGTGGCTTGAAAGACACACTAGGGGCATACACGTGCATGCATGTGTGGCTAAAATACCAAGAGGAGCACGGAAGAGACTGCAGTGTAGCCAATCCATTTATGCCACCTGCTGGCCCCTTTACTTAATTTCTCTCTGTCTCTATCACTTCTGGTGAGCACAAGCACCCTCTGTGAATTAAAAAACAAAAATGTGCAGGCTGGGGCAAGCAGGTGATGTAGTGATTAAGGCAGTGGACTCCCACATGACCATCTGCCTTAATCAAGTCCCAGACCCAGCATCTTGAAAATCATGTCAGGCACGTGTGCATGTGTGCCCAAAATCCCAAGAAAAGAAGGGAGGAGAAGGGATTGTGGTATGACCATGCCCCATGGAAGGTGCCTTCTCCCGCTTCCTGTCTCCTCTGGCAGGCACAAGTGCTCAATCCAGAAAAAAAAAAGTACAAAGAAAATATAGTTAAATATATTAAATAAAACAGAATAGGGAACCAGTAGGTGGTGTGGTGATTAAGGTGCTAAACTTTTACATGGCCGACTGTGGTTCAATTCTTGGACCCAACAGATTAAAATCATGTAGGGCATATATAAGCATGTGCCCAAAATACTGAGAGAAGAATGGAGAAGGGATTGTAGTATGGCTATCTCCCTTAGGAGTAATTTCTCACTTTCTCTTTCTCTCTCTGGCGAGTACACACACACACTATGACAAAAACCTTAAAAAAAAAAAAAAAACAGAGAGAGAGAGAGAGATGCAATGATTAGTAAAATACCCTGTTCTTACCAAAACATAATAGAAGCAGTCTACTCATAAGAAAAGATCAGGAGGGGCTGGCAGGTGGTATGGTAATTAAGGTGTTGGAGTCCCACATGACTAATCATGGTTCAAGTCCCAGACCTGGTAGGTTGCTTGCTTATTTTCCCCCTTTCTCTGTAATTCTCTGGTGAGCACACATGGCCTTTAACAAACTTTAAAAAAAAAAATTATAACAATATGGGACCAGCAGATGGTGTAATGGTTATGTTGCTAGACTCCCACATAGTCTACCATGATTCAAGTCCTATACCTGGTGGCTTAAAACTCATGCCGGGCACATGTGCATGTATGCCCAAAATCCTAAGAGGAGAATGGAGGGGAAGGGATTGCAACATGGCCACACACTCCCTGGGGGGTGATTTCTTGCTTTCTGTCTTTCTGTCTCTCTGGTAAGCACATATGCTCTATACAAAAAATATCTCTCAAAAAAAAATGATAATAAATAAGATAATTTGTAAAGGCTAATTTCATTTATTATTACCATTTTTAAAAATTTGCTACAGGGCACATGTGTTCACCAGAGACATACAGACAAACACAGAGAGGAGAGGGAAAGTGAGAAAGCAAGCCTCTAGGTCTGAGAGTAGAACCCAGTGCCCCAACCACCAAGCCACCTGCTGGTCCTAATAATTAATTTAAAAAAAAAAAAAAAAAAAAGAAAGAAAACATCAGGAAATGTCCCACCTAGAATTTACACAAGTGGCAAGGTTAGGCGTGGTTTTTCACTTTCCTCCTTGTGCTGATTTAGATTTTCTAATTTTTCAACAATGATTATATACTACTTTTTTTTCTTTTTTTGGAGAGGTTTTTGCTATAGGGCGCATGAGCTCGCCAGAAAGACAGAGAGAGACACAGAGACAGAAAGCGAGAAATCACCCCCCAGGGGGGATGGTCACGCCGCAATCACTTCTCCTCCATTCTCCTCTTGTGATTCTGGGCATGTACGCACACGCGCCCGGCGTGAGTTTAAGCCACTGGGTCTGGGACTCGAACCATGGTCGACTACATGGGAGTTCAGCTACATAGCCATTACACTAACTGCTGGTCCCTATACTACTTTTAAAAGAAAAAAGTTACCTTTTTTTTTAAAGATATTTTTGCCAAAGGGCGTGTGTGCTTACTAGAGAGGTAGAGAGACAGAAAGAAATCACTCCCCAGAGGGGATGATCATGCCACAGTCCCTTCTTGACCATTCTCCTCTCAAGATTTTGGGCATGGGCACACAGGCACCTGGTGTGAGTTTTAAGTCGTAAAATCTCGAACTCGAAAAGCAGTCAGCTACATGATAGTCCAGTGCCTTAACCACTGTACCACCTGCTGGTTCCCAAAAACAGTTACTTTTAATATTTAAAAGATAGAAAATACTGGGGCCAGCAGGTGGCTCAGTGGTTAAGGGTGCTGGACTCCCACATAGCCGACTGTGGTTCAAGTATTACACCTGGTGGCTTGCTTTCTCACTTTCCCTCTCTCTCTTACTCCATCCCTCTCTGGTCAAATTTAAAATAAATAAAGTTAAATAAATTCTTTAAAAAAGAAAATACATAAATAATATGATTAAAATATAAATTTTCTAAAGAATTATTAAATTTTACTTATTATTATCATTTTTAAAAATTTGCTACAGAGCACATGAACTCACCAGACAGAAACAGAGAGATGGCAGATGGCGTGGTGGTTAAGGGTGCTAGACTCCCACATGGCTGACTACAGCTTTAATCCCGGACCTGGTGGTTTGCTTTTCCTCTTTCTCTGTTAAAATTTAAATAAATAAATAAATAAGTAAAATAATTCTTAAAAAGGGATCAGCAATTGGCATAATGGCTATGTCGCTGGACTCCCATGTAGTCGACTGCATTTCAAGTCCCAGACTCGGTGGCTTAAACTCACGCTGGGCACGTGTGTGTGCATGCCCAAGATCCTAAGAGAAGAATGGAGAAGGGATTGTGGCGTGGCCATCCCCCCTGGGGGGGTGATTTCTTGCTTTCTGTCTGTCTGTCTCTCTCTGTCTTTCTGGCAATAGCACGAGCCCTATAGCAAAAACCTCTCAAAAAAAA